TGTGCTCTAAGAAAGTAATGTTTCCCAGTTCCATATACACCTTACTTGCTGTGTGCTGTCCAGCCTGAGCTCTGGGGAAGAATTATTGCTTAGAATGTTGCCTGTGGAGCTCATCACCATCGCATCTTGAGTGCTTCACAACATTATCCAGTTAGTTTTCACCCCTGAGATGTGTATAATTCCCACAGAAAGAAGATGATAAAACAAATCTACAAAAGCCAAACACCATCTGTCTAGTTACGAGATCTTCCACTGGAAATACCAAGAAGCTGTTTTTTCAGACAAATTAGTATTATACACTTCTCGGACTGTTCAAAATAGAGTTCCTGTTGGCTTTGGTCACAGATGTGGGTACCTAGTCCTGTATTTCTGTCTTCCATGAAGCCAGGCCGCTTGCTCAGAAAGAAAAGAGCATGCAAATAGTGGTCATTAGGGTTGAATGCAGATTGGAGTGATTTGCCTGGCATTCTGTGACTGAAGCCCATGTGGTCATCAGTTTCCCATGTAGCCTTCAACTACTTCAACCATTACTCCTTCATTTCACTTCTTGTAATCTTCTGGCTCGCTCATTTTATAGCTTCCAACTCTTACAACAGCTGAAGCAGGGATCCAACAGACATTAATTTCGTTTGCTACACAATGCTAGGCTTTTAATGTATTTTTTTTCAGACTAATATCTATTTGGGCTGTCAGCACAGGTGGGATGTTTGGTGCTCACCTCTGTACTCTTACCTCATGAAATATCTGGGCAGAACTCATCTCCTCCAGCAAGAACTTGATTAAGGATCGTGCAGTGCTGCATGTGAGCATCCCAAGTGTCCTGCTCTGATAACTCAGTCAGTCTTGGGGCCCCCCCTAACACCGTTGCCCCTGTGCTTGGCCAGAGCTAATTCTGTCCCACTCTCCATGAATCCCTTCCAGATTTTCTTCATTTTCCCCTAGTTCCCTCTCTGCTGCGCTGGTTCCCAGGCCTTCCCTGCCTGCCTAGCCAGCTCTGTCTTTAGCTCTCAGTCCCAGCCTTTACATTCACAGTTGTTCTCCCTGTAGGTAGTTCTCACTCTTAGTTTCTCCCCATCTTTCATATGGGCTTCTTGTGCCAATTTGCTCCCAACTCAAGTACAGCCTAAGGCTTGTCTCCGCTGCCTCCTGCACCACGAACGCTGACTGTGACATGTCTTTTACTTTTCCCAGTTCTTTCAGCATGACTTTTACTGGAGCCAAGATGGGCTGATGGTCTCCTGAGGCTGATGACAGCCCTGCTCTATAAAAATGAGTCGATGAGCCATCAGTTCCATACCTCCCCCCTTCCCCTGATGGGGAGCCTATTTCTATAGTGCTGCCTGGCTGCCATGCGTGAGATTTGAGGTCGTTCTCAATCCTGCTTCTCTTATCCTCTTAAATATGTAACTTAGCTGCCAAGTCGTGTCTATGTACTTGGCAGCCTACAATAGCAACTGGAAACACAACGTACACAATCTCATTGTCAAAAAAAAAAAAAAAAGTCTGTAGAGAACGGAGCCAGAGCTGAATTTTCAGGCTGATTTGAGATTCGTGCTTAGCTATCCATGGACTGATTGTGTTTGCATGGATAAACCTTTACAGAATACCTACAAGAGAAAAGATGCAGTGTTTGGAAGGCTGTGGAAATGGGGGGAAGTTAGGGACAGGTTGTTTTATGGAAATTTTCTTTCCCCACATTGTATCGTCCATGGGTTCTGCCATGTGGTCATAAACATCTCAGTGCTGCTTCAGGAGTATTTTCCCTAGTTAGAAACTACTGCAAAAATGAATGATGCGATCTTTAAGAGCTGAAAGTGTAGGAAATGTTCCTTCTATCTGACTGAACTGACCTGTCTAAAAGTCTTAAGTATTTTTGTCTCTTCAAAGTACGTACTGGTCTAGGGCAGCTGTACTAGCAAAATTTTCCCAGATTGTGGCTGGTTTTCACCTTAAAGCTGACCCGATCTGCTGAGAGGTGTGGTCCTCGCTGTCCTCTTATCTTTATCTGCATCTCCGCTGGCCCTTCTCTGACTCCACCGTGAACTGATGTAAAATGTTAACTCACCAGAAAGCTTCTAATTTGTTTTTGCTGGATGATTGTTTTTGACAGTTTAGGGAGCTGCCTTGCTATGGGACAGAGAAGATAAAGAATCAACACAAAGATAAATGATGGAAAAACTTTGATGGGAGCAAGAATGCCTCTTCCATCAACAGCTAGCTATTAGACTGGCTTAGCTCTAACATGAAGCCTCACCCTTCATGGGGACTTCTGTTGGCAAGAAGGGCTGTTGTCAATATAGCTTGTACCAATTTTCATGTGATCTAAGCAGTACCAGTTATACACGTGTCCTGGTTTTGACTGGGACAGAGTTAGTTTTTAGCAGGTAGAGGAGCTCTGTGTTTCGGTTTTAGTCTGGGATTTGCTATGAGAAGAATGCTGATAGTGCACTGATGTTTGTAGTTGGTGCTGAGACCTCAAGGACTTTTCAGCTTCCCATGTTTTGCCAGTGTGCAGGAGCACAACAGGCTGGGGTGGCATGGCCAGGACAAAGGGTTCATAACTCCCCTTATGATTTGAATTTAGATTTAGGATTTAGGACCAAATTGGCCAATGAAGTATTCCATATCATGCAGCGTCATGCCCAGTATATAGATGAGGGTTGACCGGAAAGAAGGGCTTTTGCTCTTCTGGGGGCTCTCACTCTCGGACTCTTGGAGTGCTACCTTTCTCTCTTGTTCCCTTTTCAGGCCTCTTGCTTGTCCAGGATTGCGGTGTCGGTATTTATCTTTTCTGGGATCATTTGCTGGGATGGGACAGGCCTTGGTCAAGAGGTGGTGAGCAATTACACTGTGCATCACTTGTTTGTATATATTATTATCATTATACATATATATTAATTTGTTATTATTAGTAGTAGTAGTATTAAATTGTTCTTATCTCAGCCCCCGGGTCTCCTTCCCTTTTCCCCTTTAATTCTGGGGATGGGGGTGGGTGAACGAGTGGCTGTGTGACCTTTAGATGCTAAATCACAACAGCACAACACCGTTCCACTGTGAATGACTAGTGTGAGAGATTTTCTGCCAGCAGAAATGATGCTTCACCATGTCCTGAAGATCAAAACCCCTCCCTCAAGATCATGCCCTTAAGCGACCTGTCTTAATGTGCGGGAATCATTTCCGGGGGCAGCTTGCAAATCTGGAGCTGATCACTTGCATAGGGAACCAGATCACATCACAGGAGACTTGTGACCTGATAGATACACTTTGAAGTCTTGCAAAGTCCCAAGCTAAAGTGTGTTTAACGTTCAGCATGCTGCACAGACACCAGTGCCCTAACAGAGGGACGGGGTGCCACTGCCTTCGCTGCTGCTGGTCCTGGGCCAGGAACCAGGAAAACTTCTGCAGCTCCCGAATGGGAAAGAGCTCCGTGAGCCCAAATGAGCAGCTGCAGAGATGTTGTTGTGTGGAAAACACTTGGTTTCCCTGTTTGGACTAAAATCTTACCCAGGGAAACTGTTTAGCAGGGCTGGGAAGGAGCGGAGCACACAGACCACGAGTCCCATTCCACAGTGCAGGCTGGAGGGGATTTGTGTGCTGGGATCTGCAGTTCCTAGAGGACAGCAGGCTGTCACCAGGATATGGCCATAAGCAGTATCTGCCTTAGCCCCTCCACGCCTGGCCCTGTCCCAGAGAAGCACCATGCTGTCTGGGAGTCTCCCCATCATTCCCACATCCATCTTGTTGCTGCTGTTCATGTTTGCCTCTGAAGCAGATCCCAGGGACCACAGGAGGTCCTATGGGGCAGGCAGGGATCTGTCCCACTGCCTCAGCTAGGGAGCAGGGTGGCCAGGGAGAGTCATTTGGCCATTCATGGTAGGGAAAAGCAGCTGAGGTGTATTTTGAAGACAGAACAGTGATATTTTCTCCTTCCTGTGATGTGTCGGTAGGCCTTGCTCTGCCATACTACCACCTTTTTTATTTTTCTATTTTTCTTTCATGGATCATAGTCTCTTATGTGTAACATACAAGCATAGCATTTGCATGGCCTTTTTCTTCTGAGAGTTGTAAACCGGTATTAGAAAGCTGGAACTGAGGACTAGAGCAGACAAGTTGAAATAACCACTTTTTGTCGAAGGATTAGAGCCATGGCTTCCAAATATTCATCTCTGTGGTCTGACCATCACATGGGCTGCTGGCTGCTGATGTGAAATTATTCTGGTGTCCTGTATCCAGCCCTCTACTACCAAATTAGATTGAGCAAGAATTTGTGAGAGCCTTGTGGCTGGCTGGCTGAATGGTACCTGGCAAAAAGTCGCAGAAAGCTTTAAAGTTTCACTGTGTTTAAATTTGTAGGCAGAAAGATTTCAGCAATGTTGCTTTAAAGGTGACTCGCAAATAATAGTTATGGGTTTGCAAGTCTCTCTTGTTAATTAAAAAAGGACTAATAGATCTTATTTATTTCTGGGGGATTTTTTTTAAATGAATTTTTAAAAAATATATAGATGTTGCAAAATGCTGCTTCTAGTAGCTTTGTCGCTTGTCCCCTGAAGGGTCTATCTGGTGTTTATTTAAAGTTCTCAGAATATCAAGTAAGTTCATAATATATTCAATTTTTAAGCAAAGGTTTCATTTCTCCTGATATTTAGTCTCTACAAATACATAAATATTTAAAAAAAAACACAAATAAAAGCAATGTGTCATTTAATGCATGGCTCCATTTGATTTCTCAGTCTTTATTGATTCGCTGGCGATCAAAGAACTGATGTTCCTTAGCAGACTTCCAATTATTTATTCACACCCTGAAAGACATAAAAAAGGGCAGATACACATTTTTCTTTCTTATGCTGGCAACCTTTAATCTCAGAGAACCTCTATTGAAATAAACATGGGTGAAACACAAACAACATGGGTGAAAAACAGAGTGAAGAAAGATAGAAGGTGGCCCATATGCACAGTGTTTGTCTTGTAAATACTTTGCTGGGCTGAGAACTTGAGCACAGATTTATGGCATGTACTCGTATATGCTGTTTTCTTGCAGATGATAAAACTAACGCCAGGCATGTAGTACTGGAAAGATGATACTAATACACTTGAATTTGCGAGGTAAAAGAGTGATGTTTAGTTTCAAATTATGAAGGTTTAGGCCTTGATACAGCACTTCCAAGTCAGGTAAAATCAGAGGCTAATATTTTTTTACCTGAACATCAACTGCAGGACAAATTCTTACTTTTTTTTTTTTTTTTGACAATTGTGACTGGAGCTCCAGAACTGCTGCTCCATGGCATCCCGTTAATGGAGAAAATCAGAAATACGCGTTTACTCCATACTGCCCTAAAGGTGAAATCACTTCGTAAGGACGGCTAAAAGTGCGTGGCAAGTCCTGCCGCGTGGTGTCAGAAACATGCACCATGCTCAGGCGCAGGGCCAAAAGCCATCGCAGGTGTCTATAGGTGGAGGTCCACTAAGTCCACAGACTGATGTTCCCTGTAGCCGGTTTAATGTATGACGCTGCTCAACGGCGAGCGTTGGAGGACTGCAAACCTTTAGGGAAAGCGCAGCTCTGCAGGGGACAAAGTGCATGGAATTGTGCTTTAAATGTCTGTGGCACTTGTGGATTAAGACTTTTATCAGGCCATTTAGACCATTGGGGTAAAAAAAACCAACACCCAAACTATGTCCCCCCTCTGCTCTCTTCTCAAGCGCAGGAAAAGGAGCGTGGTGGTGGTGGGTTGGTCACACGCTGCCCACTGCTGCCTCCCTGCCCTGCCTGGCATTTTCCAAGCCTTTGTCACGGTGGAGCTGCCTGCTCACCTCTCCCCAGGTCACACGGCTACTGCAGGTGCCTTTCATGGTTTGTGTCTCAGCAGCTCTGGCTGACTTCTCTGTTGGGTTTGGGAGTGCTACTGGCTCTTCCCAGTAGCTTTCTGGGGAGGGGAGTGAGCTCCCCAGTGACCTCTGCCTGTCTCTACCCTCAGCCATCCCAAAGAAGATCTCTGGAACTGAGCAGTTTACATGGAAAATCTTCCTAAAGCGACTTGAGACGCCGATAGCTTGAAGGGTTTACACGGCGCAGCGTGTGTGGTGGCAGGGGATGGAGCAGGAGTATGTGGGGAAGCCCCTATACTCTTGGCTTCGGTGTTCTTGAAAGCAATGTCTCACGTGGACCTCACCACAACCCAGATGTTTTCTGTCAGTTTAAGGCCAAAATAGATATTTCTTTGTGTCATGGGATGTTGACTGCTTTGCACTGCTGCTAGTAATTTAAACTTGTGCTACTGCATGCTCGTACTCTATATTTCAGCTCCAATCCAGCAGCTGAGGAAAATCTTAAGGAAGGAAAAAATATTCACTTTCAGGAAATGTGTGTCAAGACGTTAAAGAGGTATTTCAATTCAACTGGCTTAACTCAAAAAAACCCAAGATCTTTTGGGTGGGAATATTTTCATGCATTGTCTGAGGATCATGTCTGAACAAAACACATGAAACAGGAAGGCAGCTGTCATTTCAACAGGGTGGATGAGTGATCTGAACATAAAAACAGAGCCAGACATGCCTGGCATTGAATGCTAGCTCAGGCACTAGCCTGGTATGACTTTGGTAAAGTCATTCAGCATCTTTGTTGCTGTTTCCAGATCGCTCAGAACGAGGTAATAGTTCTCATCTACCCTAAAGTGTATTGTGAGGTAATTAATTCATCTGTGTAAGGCACTTCAAAGATTAAAGTATTATTATTGTTATTAATTTTATAAATTCACAACACGGTATAGCTGACTTTCATCCATTACTTAAAACCTCTTTGATCTAAATAATACAGTCACAATTTATTATATTAGCAACTAAAAGAGCAACTTCAGACGCAATCTTAGAGGTGAAATGTCCTGTTTCTCTCAACGTCCCCAGCCTGTTTTGTGGTTATTATAGTTGAAAGTTAGTTCAGGATACCTGCCAAACACATTTCACTGCCTGTCCCTTTGAAACTGAGTGCAGGAAGAGACTACATACCAGGTAGATAGTATTTTCAGACTGGAATTAACACTGTGCCCTTAAATGTTATGTATTGGTCAACCACTAGCATCTTCCAAGATGATTGCAGTGCAACGCTCCCTGAAAGAAGGCTGGCTGACAAAGAAGGAAAATTGCATAGGATGTCCAAGTGGGTGCAACATGACTATGTGACGTTGGATGATGGAAAATGTGAGTAATTGCTGGTATTTTTTATCAGCAAGGCGTCGCCCATACAAGTTACAAAGCTATTTCTACTAACACTAACAATTTTTTTGAGGAAATATTGTTTTTCTCCTCTGTATGTTTTCAGATGCTGCTTTGCTTTTGAAAGAAGCAAATGAGTCACATCACACGCTATCATTTGCAGCAGTTAGGAGGTATGTCATTTAGAGTTTGTTTTGAGAATTATGTGTGTGTAGCTAGTAGTGGAGGGACCAGGGTATATCAGAAGTAGAATATGAAATATCAGAGGTTTGACATCTCTAACCTGTGGGGGATTCAGTGGGAAGCAATTCCAAGTGCATTTCATCCTTGTCATCTGCAGAGAAATAATCCTAACACATATTTGAAAGCCTTCCACTCTGTTAGCTAAAGGAAACCAAGAACTTGGGTCTAAATGTGCAGAGGCATCTTAGAATCATAGAATCATAGAATGCTTAGGGTTGGAAGAGACCTCAAAGATCATCTAGTTCCAACCCCCCTGCCATGGGCAGGGAAACCCTCCACTACATCAGGTTGCCCAAAGCCTCATTCAACCTGGCCTTGAACACTTCCAGGGATGGGGCATCTACAACTTCTCTGGGCAACCTGTTCCAGTGCCTCACTATCCTCAGAGTGAAAAATTTCTTTTTTATATCTAATCTAAATCTGCCCTCTTTCAGTTTAAATCCATTGCCCCTCGTCCTATCACTACATGCCCTTGTAAAAAGTCCTCTTACCCTAAGTTAAATTCCATGTTAGCCAGCGCAGCTGCAACACTGTGTGCGCCAGGAGCGCTGACACGACTGGGACCTGGGCTGCCTCCCTGTGCTGCTGCTGTTCCCATCAGAGCTACAGGGCTCATCATTTGCTGCTGTCACTTACCAGCATTACTCCTCTATAGGCTAAAAGTGGGGAGGCAGCAGGCGGAGCATTGGATCTGAGAGGCATATCCCTGAGATCAGCAGGGCCATATAGTGGCTGCATTGCCTTTGATTTAGGAATGTATCTATCTGTAGACCTTGTTGAGCCTCAGCTGTCCTGTCCTTTCAGAAGGTGAAAGGTGTCCAAGTTATCCCCCTTTTCCTTTGAATACGAATGCCACTCTTCCAGTATGCTCAGTGCAGAAAATATGCTTCTTGGGAGTATGTCTGGTAATATCCGATTCAATCCACTCTTCAGCAGGTCTGTTGGACTCTGTCAGTAATTCTCTAAAAGCCGTCAAAGTCTTAGTGTGGGGTGAAGTGCTTGCTATGAATAGGTCTCAACAGTATGGCTAATATTTGGTATAATGCAGGCCCTTGAGCAGAGACTTTGTGTTCTTTTTTGTAATGGTCTGGTGGTGTCTATACCTGCAAATCTGCAGACTTCACAGTGTCCTTTCTGCCTTTCATTTAGGAATAAGAAACTGGATGAATTCCTCATGGCCCTGCTCTTCTACCTATCCTTTTACCTGGAAAAAATTGCCCTGGAAAAGAAATTCAGATCCTTGATTTTGTGAGTACAAGACTTTAGGGGTGTAAGTACCCAGAGCTTGCCCCAGCAAATCTGGAATCACCGGGCAGTCTTTCATGTCGGAACGAGTGGGATTCTGTGTATGAGCAAGGACTGCTTGCCTGAGCAAAGACTGCATATTGGCCCAGTCCCTGCAGGGAAGACGAAGGAGAAAATCCCCTTGGTCTCTGTTTATGTGCCCTGTCCGCTTGTCCTCTGTGCTCTCCAGGACGTAGGCTCCTCTGACTGTGTAGAGAGACAGATTTTCTGGGAGGGTTTGAACCCCACTTTGCCCCAGCCTTGCCTTGAGTGGCATGCACTGCTGTTCACATGGCATGACGTCACCATAGTCTCCCGTTCAAGACAGTGGCTGGATCCAGTCCTGCTGCAATGGGGTCACCAAATAATTTGGCTCCTCAAGGTAATGCTGCAATTTGAATAAATCTTTACTACTACCACCAACGCTGAATCTATGTGAGCGCCCTGGCTTGAATCACCATCCCTTAATGCCATTTCCCAGCAATAACATTAGCATCCAGTCATTTCTGCTTGCAGTGCAGAGCACCAAATAGTCGCAACTGAGTCTGCTGGCTGTTAATTTGCACTGTGGATCACATTGCTTTAAGACTCCATTTCTAAATACTTTGCAAAGCAGGTTCAGATGACTCTTAGGTGCTAGAAACATGTTACAACATGAGGAATATATGCTAGAAAAGCAGTTCCCAAGTCAGGGTGTGTGACCACACTTGCCACCTTGCAGAGTAGAAGCGGGGACGCCAGGGGAATAGTTCAGGAGCTGCTGTGTTAGAGGGTTATATGCCTTGGGAGAAAGCATTGCAAAGTTACAAACCATGATTGTAAAAAACTTCAGTGATTTTCTGGAGTCTGTAATAGTCTCTGAGAATTGACTGACCATTTTCCTAAAACACCTCGTGATTACTTCACAATACGTGAAGCCTTGATCTAAAGAGGACTGATGTATCTGGATTGAAGAAAATTGAACATTTTGGAGTTGGACGATTCCTGGCCTTAAGGAATTGATTTGTTGAACATTCACAGGTTGCCAGGTGTTTCTCTTATTGTACAGGGAATAATTCATAAATAAAGAAATCCAACAGTGCAGTTTCATACACAAAGGGCATAGGTTCAGTTGAAGTGCTCTAGGCTGCAATTTACAAAATGATCCCCTCGCGCTTGGCTGGTAAAGAACAAGGAGGCCAGTCCATGGGCCATGACATCTCAAAATGGCTCATATCGTCTTCTGGTGTGGCAAATACAGAAACAGACTGAAACAAAGAGGAGTTTGGACCTATTGCAGTATAGAGTTGTTTCCTGGATCTAGGGGGCTCTGGTTAGTAGGTATCGGCCATAAGCACTGGATAAACCCTGCTGAGAGAGACTTTTCAGTGCGTGCTGGCATGCAGTGCTCCCAAAGTGTCTTCTGCCTTTTGGCGAGAAACATATACTTACTCTCCACTTCTACAATACTGTTTTATTTAGATTCATTACCTCCTCTGAAGCGAAGTGGCTTGCTTGTCAGGATTACCTGCATGCGGTTTAATATCAGAGAAGCTTAAAGAAAAGATACTTACCATGCAGAAGTAGCAATTCAGGATATTGATCTACTGAAGTATAAATACAATGAAGGAAAATAAAATGACGAAAGGCAATTTCAGGTCCTATTTAATGTTGAAGCTCATCCTTAATTGTTTTAGCATCTTAGCTGACTTCGAGGAGCAGGGAGATATTAATCATGGTGTGAAGAGCTTTCTGGCATGGCATCTTCTTTCCTGTTCAAGACGTCCTAGTTCCTCTGTTATCTACCTGGTCTAATTCCGAATTTAGTATGTGCTATATTTCAAATCAAATGCTGCGAGGACTGTCTTTTCCTCCTGTGTTGTAAAGTTCTGGAATGGTCTTACACTAGGAAGTAGTGGGGGCAGGCAAGAAATCTACTTTTTTTTCTGAAGGTGGAGCTCTGTGAGCTTGTGAAAGACATTTTATAACTACATAATAGAATTGTAATGACATAAAATTACACTTGTGATAAGAATCCTTGGGTTTGTGATATACTGATGTATTTGAGAGGATGTGAAAGACGATTGTGTAGCCATTTGTTTTCCTATATCTGTCCCACATAAATCCCATGCTCAGGGCTGTTGCTCAGGAAGAAAACTCCCTCCCCCTTCCTCCAAGGTACAATTTAGTTTTAGAGGCTTTTTTGCTTTCCTGTGTAGTGCTGGCTATGTGCCACAAGTAGAGACAGACTGGAGGCAAGACGTGCTGGTGCCATTTCATGTTTCTCGTTAGTGACACCTATAATTTGCTCCCAGTTAAACTGACAGACAGATTACTTGGAGACTGGGCTTGGTGACCCGCCTAATCCTTTATCAGCTGATGTTCCTATATGACAGGCACATCCAACGGCTGTGCAGTCCTCGAGCTGCTCTTCTTGTAGACCCTGTGTGATAACCTAGTAAAACAGAAAACAGTTCTGGTTATTCCTGCTCCTAGTTGGTGTGTTTTGGGATTCCTGCCATTTGGGCTGCCTATGATTCTATGCTTAACTCATCTTCTGGGACTACTCTTGTCCACAGGGAACCAGGCCTGATGTTCTGAATAGCTCCTCAACTGTCCTGAACCTAGACCATGTAGAAGTATCAGTGTCCACAGTGCCTCAAGAGAACGTCTAAGACCATCGTGGCTTCAGAAGTCATTGCTTCTGGGCATTAAACTTTCTTTGGAAAAGAAAGTATTGGAAGGGGTTCCTATCAGAGAATGTAAGGATGAATATGGACATCTTTGTCTTGTGATTTTGTCTTTTGTTGATGCTGTGCTGATTCTTTGTAAATCCGAGCCCGAGGCTTTCCTGGCTTCGTCTACGTTCAGGAAGATCTGGTAACTAACTTCAAAAACAACCAACCAGTTTTCCAAAGCAGTGGGCATGAGACATTTGCCACTGCAGACAGCTTGGGAATATTCACCTCTGAAATATGTGACTCTAAGAAAAAAACCTCAGCAGTAGTGGATGAGACATGAATGGAACAAGGGCTGTTCTTTCTGTCCTGCATTTTCTTTCCCCTTTAGTTTCTGTCTGTTTCTGCTTCCAACCCTTTCATGTCTTTTGAGGAAAAATCTGCTGAATTTTATTAGCAATTATCCTTGAGAAGCCCAGAGTAATTGTGCTAATTTATTAAAGGTGGGTTGTGCAGGAAGCTTTAGAGCTGGAGGCAATCAGGGATAGGACATATAACCAACTCTCCTGAGCGTGAAAAGAGGCCGGCAGCGCTCCCAGGCACCGGCAGACAATCGGGTGGATTACAGGGGAAGCAGAGGAAATAGAAAGCTCTTTGGTTTGGCATTTCCTTAGTGTTTGATCTGAACTGGTTTAAAATACAGGCTTGTGGAGTCAGCCGTTCCTGTTCAGAGGCAGTCCCAAAAGCGCTTCGTGTGCCCATTTGAAGAGAAGTAAGTGCTGTCTCCGAATGAGCCAAACCCACTGCTCCAGGCACCCGGTGACAGAGCCTGTGCCTGGAGATATCGAAATGCACCTCCAGGACTTTTATGCAGGCTGCAAAAAAGGTTCATCAGCTATGCAGGATCAAAGACGGCAACCTGACGGGCTGTAGGCATGCAGCTTGTAAGTTGTGTGGGGCAAGAGAGACTGTCTGGGCTGAAGCCCCAGGCCTTGTGGCCCCACCGGCATTGCCAAGCTGCACTGGAAGCATCTGAGCCCAGCCTTGCTGCAGAGGAGTCCCCGACAGTGGTGTCACTCAGTGTGTTGGTTCCTATGCCTGAAAACCACGCTTCTGAAGAACAGTCACTCCTTCCCCTGTCCCTCTGTCCCAAACACCTTCCCTGAACACTTTTTTCCCTTTTTGTTTTAAACAGGACTACGCTATTTTTAGAGAAGAAAGAAATGGACAACGTGTTGGCAAGGATTCACCTTGCCAAGGTGTACTGTAACCTGTCCTCGAACGAGGCATGGCACAGCAGCGCCACGTGCCTATTGGGAAGTAAGCCAAGGAAAACTTTCCCTTCTGGGGACCCTCACTATGTATGTCAAGGACCACAGGAGCCTGGGGCCGAGGTCCCTGTTGAATGACATAAGTGAATGCCCAGGGTAACGTCTCATGAGCCAAGGAGCCACAGAGGGCTAAGGGACCATAAGACAGGGAGGTGTCCTGATCTCCCTGCAGCTCTACCTGTTAACTAACTCCCAAAGTGTTTCTGGTGAGCTGTTGCCAACTGATCTGGCCACAATAAGTTGCAGCAGAGCTCTGGATACCAGACTGGAAAGCTCTAGCCCTGGTATGTGGAAGCCTTGCTAGATACACAGACCAGGAAACTTTGATGAGTTCAACGTGAAAGTCAGCAGGGCAAAAAGCAATGCCAGCCCTGGATCTTACCCCTGCCACTTCCACTTACTACGTCTTGAAAGCAAATGGTTATGTACCTGCTGGTTGCCACTGATCCCTGCATAAATCTCCTCTTATGCCAAGCCTGAGATAGCATAAAACTAGTCTAGCAAGTGAAGGAGACCATGTTCCTAAAGGGCAGCAAGCGAAGGGAGTAGAGACAAGAAGAGGTTGTGCTTGGGCATTGGAAGTGTAAGACTCCTACCTCTGAGCCAGGAAGGTGGTCCATGGCTTTTTCAGAGTAGTGGAGACCAACTGCTCTTTAGATGTGATGGTCCCAGCAATGAACTGAAAGGGGAGAGAAACCTGTAGTGGGAATTAAAAAACAAACTGAAGAAGGCAGGAGAGGATGGGCGGGTGTTTGAAAAGGCAGAGAAACCAAGGGAATGATGAGGCCAAGAGAAGTAGAGTTTTAACAGGAAATGAAGATGTTTTGGTTTTAACTCTGGCCGGCAGCTAAGCACCGCAAAAAATGGTAGTGGAAGGAGAACGTAATGACAGAGAGATCATACACCATGCTAGTGTCTCTTTCTTCAGCCACGTATGTTCCTGCCCAATGTTTCCTTTCCCTGGTAGTAGAAAGGTGCTGGCAGTCCCCACCCAGCACCCCAGTCCCATGGGATCTTCTCAGAGCAGTTTCAGGCAAATTTTTTCAGTCAGTTGGTGTGAAACTGCTGCCAGTCCCCCCTGGAGGAGTCACAAACATTCACCTGCCTTCCTGCAACACAGCTCCAGGCTATCTTGCTCCTGGCTGGGGTGGGGGAACCTGGGTTTCCTTCTAATCAGGAGGAGAAGGTAACCTGTGAAATGATGGAGTCAAAGGGGAGCTGAAATTGCTGCTCCAACAGGGCTTTCGTTTTAGTGTGCCCCATCCCACAAAGTGCTTGGACCATGAGAATTAAGGACGTGTTGTTCCCTCTGCATCCTGGCACATTGGCATTTCACTGGGCACTCCTAGGAGCAGCCTTCTCTGCCAAATCCCTGCTCCCAGATTCACACTGAGCAGAGGTATCCTCCTAACCTTCTTGCTGGTTGGACAGAGAAGGGTCATGACAGCATTTCATTATTTTGTTGGGTGGCCCTAATGTCTGCACTTAGGAGACTCAGCTGGAGGAACTTATTGCCCAAAGTAACTTGAATCTGGGAACTGGATGCAGCTGGATAAAACAGCCCGTCGTATAGTGAGCTGGTTAGCTCTGCTGCCTCTTCACTCATTTGTATTGTCTGGTGGATGGGAATGTTCAGGATTGAGGCAAGCAAGAGTTCCAGCGGCAAAACAACCCACCAGCACAGGAGTGAGAGCAGAGAGCTGAAACAAGAAACTGTGTTCTTTAATATTTCCATCCCAGTGGGGGTTAGAGGCTGGCAGTGGGTTAGGATGTTGGTGTGCAGGCAGCGAAAACACAAAGACTAGAGAAGAGCCATGTCTTAAAGCCTTCATGATGTCAGGTGCTGTATGAAGGGAGACCTCACTGAGTCACTCCTGGCAGGGTGGCAGTAGCTGAGTACAGCTGACTTCAGAATTAGGCTAATGCTGAGCATGTTATAATATATGGCACTTCCCATGCCATACTGCAATTACAGAAATGTAATCTTTTCCAGGCTGACTCAGTTTAGCCTTACATGTTATCTGGATCCTCCCAGACCATTATATGAACTGCCAAAACCAAGAGCTAAGGGACAGAGGTGATTAACACTCCTAATTATAAAAGATAGTCAGGAATTTTTTGAGCACACTTGATTTGGAATGGGAAAGGTCCTTTGTCAAAATAGAAACTGTGGGGAGGGTTACTTTTGATGATTTTTTTTTAACATGAAATATGTTTAGATTAAGAAGCTGAGAAACTATTGGCAATGTACCACCCCTGGTTTTACTATATTTTCTTGTAACCCAACTATGGGTTCACGATGGTATTGAAGCTTTTACTTTCCACTCTAATTCACCATAGCAACATTTTAATGAAATTTTACACCATGTTGGTAAACTGCTTTCCCTTCCAGATCTGCCGAATGTCTGTGTGTTCATATGAAATTATTGATTCTTCATGTAAAGGTTTCCTGTGAAAGTTGAAAAAGGGAGGCTTAGGTGGAGAACATCTTCATCTTAACAATTTACATCATTTGTAAAATGCAGCATTAAAATCCAATCTTGATACTGTCCCAGACTGGAATTTGAGAGAGTTCCTCAGACCTGTTATTTGTATGTGTTAGCATTAGTTCTTTTGTGCCTCCAACACTGAGGAAGGAATAGGTGTGTCTGGCTTTCTCCTTTTAAGTTGATGGGGATTGTGCAACTTTTTATGGTGCCAGTTTCCTTATGGGCATTGTCATAATGGGAAAAAAAACCAGAGCGTTCCCAAAGCTGCGTGCATCAATGGTGCAAACACAGTTGAGCCAGCCCTTACAGATCCTTGAAGCTGGCTTGATCCAGGGGCAATTAGAGTCATAGCTGCAGTGGAGCGACAGGAAGCATTTCTTCCCCATGTGCCCCAGTGCACAACAGTCGTTCTTGTGGGTGTCTGAAGCCACTATCATCTTGCATCCAAAACCCACGCTTACTGCACTGTCTGCCCTTGGCTGTGCTGTCCTCCTCTTTTATGCCTGAACTCATCACGTCCTCCTCACAGCTCTGAGAAATCTACTATACTACTAGAAGGCATGATGCTTTTTGCTCACTCTTTTACGTTTCTTACAAGCTCTGTCCTAAAGCTTGTTGCAAGTTTGATGTTTTCCTGACCCTTTCTGTATTTTCCTAGGTAATTAAAAACTGTGCCCCAGACATGGGAGGTGCCTCCTAGATCAACACTTCTTTTAGGAAACTTTACTTCAAGCAGGTCTCTCAGCTTAATACCTCACCTGAAGGAAGAAAGCACTGGGAGAAAGAAGGGTGGAGACCCCTGGCCTTATTTGACTCTAATTGTTGGCGTTATTTTCTGTTGCTGGCCTCTACATTGGTTTCTCTGCTAAACTAGGGGCTAGTTCTAAGACACTGCACGAGCTGTGTAATGTTAAAAGGTAAAGCTGGGTTTCACATTTAGGTTTTAACAAGCTGGAGTCACTTTAGGTTTCTCCACTCTGAAGACAGAATAGTGTGCTTTACCAGAATTCATAAGGAATCAAAAGAACCAGAGTTGTTCTGGGAGTTCTGCTTTGGCAAACGGCCATGCCATGCTTGCAGAGTCAAGCTTCTTTTCCCTTGCACAATATGTAAAGTGTCAGCAGGATTACGGCTGGTGGGAGCCATATAGGGAGATACATGGTCTTCTGGATCAAAAAATCGGTAAATAAAAGTCAGAAGATGGTAAACAGAGCTATAGGGCTGAAAGGTATTATCTTCATGGTCTTCTCTGCGTTGATGTTTCTGAGGTGATGCCAGCTGGGGATACCCTAGATGTGCGGAACACTTGGTGTTGTCAGGAAGATAAGGGACATGTCAGGAGATGGTGAGTTGATGCAGGGACAGGCTTTCCTATGCATCTGGCAGGACCAAACCACATCTGTGGGGATCTGTAGGCTAGTAGGGAAAATTTGTTTTCAGTTCCGTGAGGGTGAGTTGTGCCATCTCCAGGAGAACTGAGTGGCTGCTGGGATGTGTGCATCGCTCTCCGCTTTAATGGCCATTTCTATGATGGACAGTCATTTGGCTTTGTGTGAGAATCCCCAGGCTCAAGTGGGTGGTGTGAGATCATCTCTCAGGCTTCCACTGGGAAAATTGCTGCTTCTTTAACAAAGGCCCTTTGTGATTCTTGGGCATGTTTTAAATTTCTTCTTGGAGAAACATCAGGCTTCTCCTTCCTGGTTTTCAAATTTATTGTCTCAGCATTTGCCTGGCTTTGTGCCCTCAGTGACTGCTTGTTGCTCTTCCAGTGATGTCAGGAAGAGTTTTTTTATTGACTTCAGTGGGAACTGGGTTAGATCAGTGCTGACCACTTTTGAGAGGCCCATGCAGAGAGCTCAGTCTAGATAGCATGGTAGGGGAGCCTCGCCTGCTCATCACATCCAGCTTTGTTCTCTGTCAGATTTAATTAACTGAGCCATACAATATTTTGCATTTTCTCCTTCTGAGGCAATGCAGAAGTCCTGCCTTTCTCTTGGACTGTGAGTCTCCACATGCGAGTAATGAGGATCTACCAGCAACAACTTTATTGCCCTGGTGAAATGCCAGCTTGGCATAGCCCCATGAGTCATATTCAATGCTCTGTTCAGAGAACTGAAAGGACGACTGCTGCTATTAATTTTGTGCTTTTGTTCACTGCCTTAGGAGAAAAACATTGCAGAAGGATCGGAGCTTCTTTGAGGTAAGAAAGACACAAAGATAAATGGAGAGAGTGACAGAGTGTCAGCCCATAGCATGTCCCTCCCTCGCACGTCCAAATGCTCCTTTCCTTTTCGGTTCCCCCAGTAGGTTACTTGTAGGCAGAGTACCTAGAATACAATTTTACCTCTAGGGCCTGGATGTTCCTGTAAAATACCATCTCTTCGCCCTTTAGCCCAGGCCTTTTCCCTTGGAGCCCTCAGCCGGGGAGTTTCAGCCCCTCTGTGGCTCTCGGACCCCAGACAGTTCCCACCACAGCCTGAGGTCCCTCTAGGAAGTCTAGTATATAGATTTCTTCTCATCATTGGCCTCACCAGGATACCTTCTAGCAGCTTTCCAGTACCTAAAAGGGGCCTACAAGAAAGCTGGAGAGGGACTTTTTCCACCCAAGCTGTGGAAAGAACTAGCAG